TGTTTTGGTCATGATTGTTACATGTTGGCTTTTGGAGTTCCAGCTGTCTTAATGATACTGTCATTAGGTAAGTATAAGTTTTACGCCTTTTATTCGCATTTTGCCATTCTAATGTATCTACCTCGTCCTTTGAAAAAAGAAAAAGAAAAAACTATGACGACATCAAAGTATATACCTGTGACTTTATTAATCTTGGTTGCTGAAAGTTAAACACAAAATTAAATTAAAATTAAAATAATTAAATTAAACACAAAAATAATTACCACTCTTGAAAGGTAATGCATTTAATTCTTAATGTAATTATGTTTATCATTTGTCCATAGTAACTTTGTATATTTAAAATGTGCATTTCAGGTTTTTTTCTCTCAGTTGAAACCTCATCCTTGGTTTTTCCTGTGCTTTAATTGCCAGAAAAGGTTCTCTCATCAGATCAACTGAATGACAAAGACTTCCAAGAATATTAATTTTTGACTGATGAAGGTTTTTACAATTTTGCTGTGTTGCAGGGCACAGATAAGATGGCCTCTGAATGAATGAAATAGCACTTTCTTTATGCAAAATATTTTAGGTGTTTAAAAGATGATTTCCATTGAAATTGTTGAAAAGTCAGGTTTTAACAGGGAGAAAGAGCCCTCAATATATCAAGGGAACATGACACTGGTAACTGCTGTAAGCTTTAATCCCTTCTCTTTTCATTTCTTTCTTTAAGCTTTATTTCTCTGTGGCCGTAACAAGTACAAAAAAGTTCCCCCAGAGGGAAATATTGTTCTCCTTGTTGGATGTGCTGTTGGGGTATGTTGAGCAAGAGTAGATTTCTCTTTAACAGAGTCAACCATAATAATTTTCTCCTAACATTACAAGTACCGTACTAATCCAAATATTGGGTTATCAGAATTAAAAATTGCTTACCTGACTGTGGGGGAAAAATGCTTTGATTGTCAAACAAAATAGGAAATGTATGGAGACCAGTCCTGAGAGAATTTGTGTATATATATTGGGGGTATAATTCGTTAATAGTCTGTTTTTGTCAACCACAGTGATGTTGACTACAGATGTTTGTCTAATTATGTAGCTTTTGTTACCAAAATTTTATAATATTTTATATTGGTACTATTTTTTTTCCAAGTTTGCTATGTCTTAGGTTCTTTTGTTGTTTGGTTTAGAATGCCATCAAAAAGAAAATAAAAAGCATTGGATCTGGTGAGAAAAAAGAACACTGGATGGACTTTGCTAAGGAGAACTATGGAGTAAGTAATCATTTTTTAACGCAACCACTCTTTTGGTTATGCTCCTACAATGTAAGGTTTGTGCTAAACGTTTTTCAAAGTTTCACAGTCCTGTACAGTACAGTGACTGTGGAGATTGCTTTTTTTAAGCTGAGTGGAATGAAAGCTAGAGTTTTAAGTAATGTTTGTATTACTAATTTTATTGTGTTCTTATGACATTACAGTCCCGCATGGTTGAAGATGTCAAGGCACTTTTTAAAGTCCTTTTTATGTTTCTTCCTCTGCCTGTGTTCTGGACATTGTTTGATCAACAAGTGAGAGTTTTTCTTAACGTTTTCTGTTTGTTAATAGTTGTACAGTTGAATTTCTCCACCATGGCTACCTACAGTATAGCGCAAACAGAAGTGGACATTGTTTTATGCATGTAGATAAAATCTGTTCTCAAGTTAAACAGTGCTCAACCAAGTTTCCTAGCCCTAAGTTAAAGGAAATTTTTTAACAGCTTTTTTAGGTTTTGGGGAGGTGGCATATGGTAGAAGTTTTGACTGCATACTTTATCTGTAGACTGTTTAAGGTGATTCCCTAGTTTTGCACTGCGCATCTCTTACTGCGCATAACAAGATGGCCGCTGTAAAAAAGAGCATTTGAAGTAATATTATTAAAATGAAGTTGACTGAAGAGAAACGCTATTGGAATTTTTGCTTGCTGTTGTTTCTTGCCGAGGTGAGACTCAGTGTGTTGGGAATGTGCATAACGTAAGCAGTACGCGTGTTGCTGAGTTCGACCTCCTCTCGGAGAACCTCGGTAGTGGATGTTTAACTAGTGCTTACTCACTTTGATTTTCATTTAAACACTTTCTTTATCACATTGTGTCCTAAATGTGATATCTCGATGTAAATTCTGTAAAAACGGATTTTTTAATACTTTCTTCCC